TTCCCCCATTAGAATGTAAAGCTTATAGTGAGTGGGGATGGTTTCATTCTTTATACTTGTATGGCCAGCCCCTAAACACAGCACCTGGCACCCAACAGGTGCCTTTTTGCTTGCATATTTTGTTTTTAAAAAGTTTTTCTTTCTTTCTTTTTAAATATCACCATAATTTTCCTCAGTATCCCTCCCCTGACTGACCCGTCAGTCAACATGCATTTTGTAAGCATCTACTGTGTGCTAGGCACTCTGCTGGAGCTTCCATACAAAGAAAGGCAAAGGGGCAGCTAGGTGGTGCAGTGGGTAGAGCACTGGCCCTGAAATCCAAAGGTCCTGAGTTCAAATCCAGCCTCAGACACTTGACACTTACTAGTTGCGTGATCCTGGGAAAGTCACTTAACCCTCACTGTCTCACAAAAACAAAACAAAAAGGCCAAGGTCTGGGGGCTGATGGTGGCGCAGTGCATAGAGCACCGGCCCTGAAGTCAGGAGGACCCGAGTTCAAATCCAGCCTCAGACCAAACACTTGACACTTACTAGCTGTGTGACCCTGGGCAAGTCACTTAACCCCAGTTGCCTTAAGGGGAAAAAAAGAAAAAAAAAAAGGTCAAGGTCATTCACTGCATCCTGGGCCATCTCTAGTCATCTTAAATTTGGAACTCAAAATCTTGTGGAAGGGAAGATATGCTTAACATCAACGTACACATAGAGCCTATATCAGATTGTGAAAATTTAAAACTCAAAATCTTATGGAAGTGAATGTTGAAGACTAAAAATAAATAAATAAATTATTTTTAAAAAAAAAGAAAAAAAGGTCTTACTCTCATGGAGCTCACAGTCTAATGGGAGAGATAACATGCAAACAACAATGCATAGACAAGATTTATACAAGATAAATTGGAAAAATCTAAGTTAGTTGAATCCGATTAGTTTTAAATTAAATGTACTTTTCATTTTTTAGTTTTCCATTTTATTTTTCCAATTACATGTAAAAACATTTTCTAACATTTGTTTTTTAAAAATTTTTGAGTTCCAAATTTGCTCCCTCCTTCCCCTCCCCTCCTTGAGAAGGCAAGTAATTTGATACAGATTACACATGTACAATCATGCAGAACATTTCCATATTAGCCATGTGGCAAAAGAAAACACAGACAAAAACACAACATGAAAAATAAAGTTAAAAAAAAAGTATGCTTCGATCTGCATTCAGACTTCATCAGTTCTTTCTCTTGAGGGGGGCAGCATTTTTCATCATGAGATCTTCAGAACTGTCTTGAATTATTGTATAGCTGAGAATAGCTAAGTCATTCACAGCTGATCATCATGTACTACTACTGTTACTATGTACAATGTTTTGCTGATTCTATTCACTTCACTTTGCATAAGCTCATGTAAGTCTTTCCAGATTCTTCTGAGAGCATCTTACTCACTTCTTTTTTTAATAGCATTTAAAGGTTTTTTTATTAATTTATTTTGATTTATCAACAATCACTTCTATAAACTTTTGAGTTTTAAATTTTTCTCTCCCTCCCTCCCCAAATCGGGGTGCAATCTGACATAGGCTATAAATATACATTCCTATTAAACATATTTTCACATTAGTCATGTTGTAAGGAAGAATTAGAACCAACAGAAGGTACCACAAGAAAGAGGAAACAAAACAAAATAGAAGAAAAAAAAAGAGAGCAAATAATATGCTTTGATCTGCATTTCTTTGGATATAGATAGCATTTTCCATCATGAGACTTTTGGAGATGTCTCAGATCCTTGCATTGCTGAGAAGAGCTAAGTCTATCAAAGTTACTCATTGCACAACGTAGCTGTTATTGTGTATGAGGTGTTCCTGGTTCTGCTCACTTCACTCAGCATCAGTCCGTACAAAGTCTTTCCAGGTTTTTCTGAAATCTGCCTACTCATCATTTCTTATAGTACAATAATTTTCCATCACAATCATATACCACAACCTGTTCAGCCATTCCCCAACTGATAGGCATTTCATCAACTTCCAATTCTTTGCCACCACAAAAAGAGCTGCTATAAATTTTTTTGTACATATAGGTCCTTTTCCTTTTTCTTTGAACTCTTGGGAGCAGGAGTAGTGGTATTGCTGAGTCAAAGGTTATACACAGTTTTACAGCCCTTTGGGTATATCTGTCCTCTACAATTAGACCAGTTCACAACTCACCAAGAGTGCATTAGTGTCTTTGCTTTTCCACATTCCTTCCAGCATTCATCATTTTCCTTGTCTGTCACATGAGCCAATCCGATGGGTATAAGGTGTTTCCTCAGAGTTGTTTTAATCTGCATTTCTCTAATCCAGGCCTGCAAACCTGTGGATGCTTACGGCTTGCCAAAGGATTTTGGTGGCCTGAGAAAACATCCTTTGTATGTAGAGGAAATCCTTTGGCGGGCTACAGGTTGTGCATTTTGGTTTACTTTTTTTTTTTTCTGTTGGGCAATGGGGGTTAAGTGACTTGCCCAGGCTCACACAGCTAGTAAGTATTATGTGTCTGAGGCCGAATTTGAACTCAGGTCTTCCTGAATCCAGGGCCGGTGCCCTATCCACTGCGCCACCTAGCTGCCCCAATTTAGAGCATTTTTTCATATGATTATAGATAGCTTTGATTTCTTCTGAAAACTAGCTGTTCATATCCTTTGGCAATTTATCAACTGGGGATAGTCGTTCTCTATATATTTGAGAATGAGGCCTTTATCAGAGAAACTTGCTGTAAAAAATTTCCCCCAGTTTTCTGCTTTGCTTCTAATCTTGGCTGTATTGGAATTGTTTGTGCAAAACTTTTTATTTTTTTTCTCTCAGAGACAACTGAGGTGGTGATTTGACCACTGTCACACAGCCAGCAAGTGTTTGAGGCCGAATTTGAACTCAGGTCCTCCTGACTCCAGGACCAGTGCTCTATCCATTGTGCCATGTAGCTGCCCCTATGCTTTACATTTAATGTAATCAAAATTATCCATTTTACTTCTCATAATGCTCTGTCTCTTGTTTTGTTAGGAATCCTTCCTTTATGCATAAATCTGACTGTAAGACAGTCTATGCTCCCCTAATTTGCTTATGCTAGCACCCTTTATGTCTAAATTATGTACCTATTTTGATTTTATCTTGGTATATGGTATAAGATGTTGGTCTGTACCAGGGGTGGGGAACTGAGGCCTCAAGGCCACATGCAGCCTTCTAGCTCCTTGGACAAGGACTTTTGACTGAGTCCAAGTTTTACAGAACAAATTCTTTTATTAAGGAGATTGTGCTGTGAAGTTTGGATTCAGTCAAAGGGCTGCACTTGAGGACCTAGAGGGCCACATGTGGCCTTAAGGCCATGGGTTCCTCATCCCTGGTCTGTATCTACTGTTGTTGTTGGTCAGTTGTTTCAGTCATGCCCAACTCTTCATGACCCCATTTGGGGTTTTCTTGGCAAAGATACTGGAATGGTTTGCCATTTCCTTCTCCAGCTCATTTTACAGATGAGGAAACCAAGAAACCAAGGCCATTAGGGTTAAGCGGCTTGCCCAGGGTCACACAGCTAGTAAGTGTCTGAGGCCAGATCTGAACTCAGGTCTTCCTGATTCTAGGCCTAGCTGCCTTAAGTATAGAAACTATTCTATACTAGTTTCTGCCAAACTGCTTTCCTGTCTTCTCAGAGATCTTTGTCAAATAGTGAGTTCTTTTCAACACTATTTTAAATTTAAAATAATAAAGGTTAAATATAATATTCCTCCATAAAAGTCCTACTCAGATGCCTCATGTTAGTATGGAGGTAATCTTCTTTTCTCCAAGGCTATATAGTGCAGCCTATCCTCTGGCAGGCTCACACCCAAATGTAAAGAGTAAGGTCTGTCATTCAAAGACCAGCCTAAATAAATTCAAAGGAAATTATCCTCAGAAGAATGGTTATCTAAGTGTTTTTGGCCACAGAAAATAAGCAATCATTATTTAAGGTCATAAGGGTTTCTGCTGGCATCATCTGTAAGTATGCAGAGTAATAAAAATCATAGCTCTTTGAAAAGTGAGCTTTTTTTAAGCCAACAATTAAAACAGCTCTAGGGCCAGCTAGGTAGCACAGTGGACAGAGCACCGGTTCTGGAGTCACAAGGACCTGAGTAAAAATCTGGTTTCAGACCAGACACTTGACACTTACTAGCTGTGTGACTCTGGGCAAGTCACTTAACTCCCCCAAACTGCCTTGCCAAAACAAAACAAAACAAACAAAAAAATCAGCTCTAAAATTTCACCTCAAGTCAAGTAAGTTAGGAAGGATGACAAAAGATGGAAATAATCAATATTGGAGGGAATATAGGCACACCAAAACACTGTTGGTGGAATTGTGAATTGGTCCAACTATTCTGGAAAGCAAACCGGAATTATGTTAAGAGTGATTAAAACATCCATACCCTTTGAATCGGAGATTCCATTGCTAAGCATATTATTGTCTGTACCCCCTCTCCCCCAGACAGAAGATCAGAGGCAGAAAGATCCCATATACGCCAAAATTTTCACAGCAACACCTTTTGTGTTACTAAAGAACGGACAACAAAGTAGATGCATGTCCATTGGGAAATGCTACACAAACTGTGGCAAACTGTAATGGAATATTACTGCACCACATGAAATGATGACTATGAAAACTTCAGAGAGGCATGGGGAGACTTAAAGAATGACAACCTCAGGACAGTCTCTAATTATAATGACCGAGCTTGTCCCAGGAGATATTTCACAAACTGGCCAACTTAAACCATGACGGGCTGCTGAGTTTTGCTCAATTCTTTTATTTCCTCTTCCTTTGGAGTTCTTTGTTACAAGGGATGTTCTTTGGAGAGGGGGAGGGGAGGGACATATTTGGAAATCAAAGCAATGCACAAATAAATAGCAACACATTTTTTTAAAAAGGCAAACTGATTTGTATGAACCAATTAAACAAGGTGGCAAATGTTCTATGCGGCCAATGTATCACACACAATTTTTTAATATAATGAAACTTGATTGAACTTACCTTTAATTGCCTTTACATCTGTGGCCTTGTCTTGTTCTTTGCCTTTCACTGTAAAAAAAAAAAGTCATTATCAAAAGCTGAAGTAAAACAGAGAATTCAAATACTGTACTTTGGCAACTAAGTGGATGGACCACAGTCCATCTGCTGTTTCAAATTAATGGAACCTTTAATTTTCAAAGACAAAAAAACATGCCTAACTCCTTCAGTTCATGTGCCTTCCTCTGCTGTAAAGTTTCAAGTTTTATAGTTACTTCATCTATTGAGAGAGAGAGAAGTCTGGACTAGGAGACCAAGTTCCCCTCTGGCTCTTTATCCTATGATCACATGAGTCCTCCTCATTTCTTACCTGGCTACACTACTCTGGGACTTCACTGACTTTTTCCCCTTTGCCCTAATACCTTGCTGGCCCCTCCCCACCCCCTTTCACATGTTGTCTTCCCCTATTAGAATGTAAGCTCCTTGAGGGAAAGGGATGATCTTTTTTTTTTAATTGTATCCTTGGCATTTAGCAGGCTCTTAATAAAACTAGAAAGAGTGAGAAAGAAAAAATCAGAGTGAAAGAGAGAAAGAAAGAAAGAAAGAAAGGTAAGAAGAAGAAGAAAGGAAGAAGGAAGGTGGGAAAAAAGAGGAAGGAAGGGAGAGAAAGAAGGAAGGAAAAGATATAATCCTCATGTGTTCATTCATATAACAGAATAGAATTACAGAATTCCAAGAGCTGGCAGAGACCTAAGAGGGCATCTAATCTAACCCAACCTATCCATGAACCAAAAATCCCCTTTACAACATTCCTGACTATTGTCTAGCAGCAAGAAGCACATCAACTCCAGAGTCAGGCCTGCCCAGCCATGACATTTTTCCTTCTCTATAAAATCCCTAATTCTGTCCTTATGGATTGAGAAGAAACTTTCATATAGTTTACCTGGGGAACAGCAATACAAGTTTATTCACTGACTCAAATATTCGAAGATAAGTCGTGAAAGTTCAATAGCATGAATCTGTAATGGACCAAGGGCAACTGTTCTGTGACTTTACCAGCCACGTTCAATGGAACAGAGAAGACAGACAATGTTTCAAACATCATCTGAAAATAAAGCCCCATGTTCGTAAGGTGGCTGGACCATAACATAAAAACACGCACCTCATGGCCCTCCCAGGAGCAGAAACAGCTTTGGAAAGGAAAACATCACTCCCGGGCAGGAGCATGGGCTGATTAAAGCTCAAGGTATTAAACCAGCACTGGCCCTAACTCAAAAATAAGAACCTGCTTCCCTGCTCCTTCCCCAATACTCCTTTCTAGCTTCCCAACAAAGTGCTAACATTCTTTCCTACAGAGGGAAAGGTCAGTGAGTGGCTGCCTGCTGCTGCTAACAGGTCAGGCAAGGTAGGAATTGTGACCAGCAATACGGCAAGGAGGTGGGCAGGGCTGGGTTCGAAGGACAGATACCTGACTAAGAGCAACAGAGAACTGGGCTGAAGGAGTGACAGTGAGAAGGAAAAGTAAAGAGTCTGGAAATGGGGGCTGATATGGCCATTTACATGAGAACTGAGTGTCCAAATGGCCAAAGCCAGATACACCAGTTTGGGTAATTCTAGGTAAGGCACTAATAGAAAGAAGGGAAGACCACAGCCTGAGCTCCCTGAAAAACCACCCTGCATCAATTATTTATACCAGTACGCAATTTCTGAGAATGAATACTACAACAGAGTTGTGATCTCACCAACGTGGGTACTTCCTGCAACAACGCAGATCCCATCATCTATCCATGTCCTTCCACGGTTTCAACACTGGGAGTTCCTCTGAAAAGCCTGACAGAGATCTCTCTCGTGTTCCTCTAAATGTTTAGACTGTCTAAAGACTGGGTGCTCTTAGCACCCTCTGTCCATTTTTTGGTCCCTCTTCTGATAACTGCAGAATCCAAATCCTGCCCTCTACTCCGCCAGGGTTGATGGCCACTTTTTAGTTTTATCTGTTGGTGGGTTGCCATAACTAAGAATTTATCACCAACTAGTCAGTCCCTTTCTGGTTTTGCAGGCACAATCTGTTTTATGGTCCATACCTGAAGTCTTTTCAGCATAACAGATTTGGAGCTAGAAGAAATTTAAAGGTCATCTAGTCCAAATAGTTCCTGGGAGCAGCTAGGTGGAGCAGAGGATAGAGCGCCAGACCCAGAGTCAGGAAGACCTGGGTTCAAAACCAATCTCAAACACTTATTAACTGTGTGATCCTGGGCAAGTCACTTAACCCTGTTTGCCTCAGTTTCTTCATCTGTAAAATGAGCTGAAGAAAATGGCAAACCACTTTTGTGAAGAAAACCCCAAACTCATGAAGAGTCAGACATGACTGAAACAACTGAACAACAAAGTCCAACATACTGAGGACTGACCAGTATGCACATTAAAGAAATGAAATACATACACAGAAATATTAGCTCCCGCCACATGCTAGATGGCATATTAAAAAAAAAAAAATGTTAATTCCTCATCGCAGCAAATCTTACATATGATCTCTGAAAAGAAAAAAAATGCTCTGCCAAAATTCATCAAAAGTACATATTTCTTGATGGCCTGTATGTTTGTTGTTAAGGAACCAGTCTAAATTATGAGAGGCTCACAGTCATGTTAGCCACTGTGACAAATTTCTGGGCCTCAACAATTCTCAAAGATCACCAAAGTCGTAGAGAAACTGCAATCTGCATAAGTATAAAGACCATTCATACCAATGAAATCAGACATCCAAGTAGTGAAACATCAAAACATGTTTATCTTCATTCCCCAAATGGCAAAGCCAGATCAACGCTATCACACCTTCCTCAGTGGAGGTGGGGTTGAACAGCCTTCTCGTTTAAGGACACACCAAAATTAAGCATAAAGCATCACAGAACTCCCTTGACATGGCATCGTTGGCTTCATACTTTTTGAAAACCAATGCTATAAAAACATCACTTTCCACTTCTCTGAGGCACAAGAGGTGCAATGAATCCTAAAAGGAACGCCTAACATCCCGAGCAGCAGACATGCTATTACAGGATTCCCATGTAAAAGACTAAAAGGCTACCATTTAAATGAAGCTCACGAATACATGGGATCTACTCCAATGAAGTTAAATAGGGCAAACACTTAATTGGTCCAAATCTCTCCGGGAAAGGGTAAAGTTAATTTTCATTCTCATGTAAACAAAATGCATAAATACACAGGACAACTAGAGAATAATGTAGTTTGAGCTGGAAGGAACCTTAGAAGTCATCCAATCTAATCTCTAATTTTATGGATAAGAAAACTGAGGCTGAGAAAATGACCTGTCCAAAGTTAAACACACAGGAAGCAGTGGAGCCAGGACCATCAGACAAATTCAACTCTCTTCCCTCCATACCCTACTGCACATGGCATATCCTGCCAAAAGAATATAAAGTCCTTGAGAACTGGACTTTGTCATTTTTTTATCTTGTATCCCTAACGCCCAAGCCAATACTTTGAACACAGTAGGCACTTAATAAATGTTGAGTTCATAAAAAGAAAATACTGGAAGTCTGGGGAAAAAAACTGCAGCAAAAAATGTGCCAGAACTTCAGAAAAACCTGGAAAGACTTGTATGGACTGATGCTGAGTGAAGCGAGCAGAACCAAGAGAACCTTGTACACAGTAACAGCCACATTGTGTGATGACTAACTTTGATAGACTAAGCCCTTCTCAGCAATGCAAGGATTTAAGACATCAAAAGTTTCATGATGGAAAATGCTATCCACATCCAAAGAAAAAATTATGGAGTTTGAATGCAGATCAAAGCACACTATTAGCTTTTTTTTTTTTTTACTTCTGTTTTGTTTTGTGTCCTCTTTCTTGTGGTTCCTTCTATTGGTTCTAATTCTTCCTTATAACAAGACTAATGTGAAAATTAAAAAAAAAAAAAGTACGTGCCAGAGATCTTAAACAACATAGGTAACAAGCATTTATTAAACACCTATGTGCCAGGCCAAAGACATTCCCTGCCCTCAAAAAGTTTATACTCTACTTGGGGTGTCAGGGAAGGGTGACAATATGTACATATATAAATGAGATATATATACTCAAAGGTTGAAATATATGTGTGTGTGTAGATAAGATTTTTTTTTCTAATTACTATGTTAATTACTTTTAAGTTTCAAAAAATGAACTATTTAAATATAGGTTAAGTTGGCTAAGGGAGTGAATAGCTCAAACTTTTCCATTAATAGTAAGAGTACTTAAAAATAAATCCTGTGATCACAGTTTTGCTACAGTGTCTTTCTGAATATTTTAATGAGGGGGACTGAAGGGGGAAGATGTCAAACTTGTTGATGAATCCATCACAGGACTCAGGACCTCAAAAGAGGGTAACATCCCCGGAATACAACACTGTCACTTCAGAGAGAGTTAAGAGCCAGAATTCATCTGCAGTCACTCTCTCCAAATCACTATGGTATTTAAAGGTTTATATATTTCCCTAACTCATCCATTCTTACCTGTTTCTATAACCAACATCCTAGTTCTCATTATACAGTGCCTGGATACCCACAGTACTTTCCTAATTTCTCTGCCTCTATTCATTCACTCAACAAATATTTAGTATAGGCAGTTCTGCTATAATACATTTCAAAAAACGTGAATCTGTTCCATTGTGATTGGTTTATCAGGGAATATTTTGAGCATAACTTGAATTTCCAGTTTGCTTCATTGCAATTTCTTCCTTGCAGATAACTGCCCTACTTCACAGTAACTCCTGAGCTGTAACCCGTCTGAAGTCCACTTACATAAGCAAACTTCAGGTCTTTTTCAAAGTAAAGTGCTACACTGATTGTATATATTCTGGGGCAATAGGAACTGTGACTAGGGAAAGGTTAGTATGAACCTAGACCACCCCCATCCCCTTCTACTAGGCCCGCCCAACTTGTTTCTGAAGCGCAGTGTAGGGGGGAGGGACCTCACTGTTTATTTTATTTTTTATGTATTTAACATGTATAAAAAGATGTTCTTATTTTTATTAGGTTCCTGTCTTTCTTTGCGTGTCACTGGTGAAGTTTTTCAGTGTCATG